ACTTTCACAACCATGCTTGCTGTGAGGTCCAGGGTTGGATCTTTATTTGGGTCGATGAATTCGCACTGCCGATGAAACCCATCAAAGTCGGAACAGCTCTATAGTGCTTCCATGCTCTCCAGTCTCCGCTTCACTTGCTTCATACATGACTAAGTTTCTCCCTGAAATTGAATAAATATATATTGCTTTAATAATATTATATATATATATATGTATATATATATATATATATATATAATCACCGGCTTAAGAACAAGCACGGTGCGAACGCAACAATAAAAACAGAAAAAGGAGGGTAAGTAGTTATAAATCTATGCCCACACAAGCCCACAGGAAAAGTAATCTCATCGATGTTATGCAAACAATTGAAATAGAGCAGCTATGAGATTCTCTTCATGTCAAGAAAAATAAGTATTCAGTGACACAAAGATCGGGTGAAATACACAACAGGATTGAGTGACTCATTCTAAGTGGAAATGAGTACACTGCTTACTGAATCATGACCGGTGCTCTCCGACCAACGCAAACGTTTAACCAAACGGGCAGGTAGATCCGCAGTGAACAAATCAGGCCAATTCGGTTTGTCGTAGTCAAGAATCAAATCCGGTATCTGAAAGTAATCAGTAATCCAGAGTTAGCATGTGCTGGTGGTTAACCGCATTGCGACTGTCACACTGTGGGTTTTATAGAGAGTATTAATTGCATTGCGTTATTGATTCTCAAAATTACGACGGTCTCCAACCATTCAATTGTGTAGCACACACATGTATAATCAAATGAATAGTTTAAAAGCACCAGTCAAATACATTCTTGGTCAAAACACGAGAATCAAACCGTAAAGGGGTAACTTACACAAACCTATCTATTCGCCTGGAACTGTGCCAACAATCTCAGAAGTAAAACATGATACCATCGATCGACCCGACTTTCAACAGTACTACTCAATCAATGTCTTTATTTTTTTATCTTCAATTACATTCGTGAACTATAACCACCCATGTCAATCAATCTTCCATCACATCTGTGAAGGAACAGGCGTTCGGTATCCGCATCATTTCGGCTCGGAGTGACTGCAAATCAACACCAAGTTATTTGTCATACTACCGGTGTGTGGAATGCCAGGGAGCCTGGTGCCTGGATATCAAAATCATCAAACAAAACAAAATCTACGGTTTCTCAAGGGGGAACATGATACGAAGAAACCGTAAGTGTAGCCATTTCTCTAGAGCTCGTCAGCCTTCTGTGGTTAGCAAAAAGTCTCAGGATGGTGGGGGATATCTTCGGTTGTGTTTCTCACTAAATGTTTCTATACTGTCAAGCGTCTGCTGAGGAAACGTTGTCCTCTGTGTACACGTGACGGATGTTCCTCTACCAACGAGGAAGGACAACAGGTCAACAACCTGGGCTGATGAACTACTGACAGTTAATCAAGGGGAGTTGGCGAAAAACCTTGATTTCAAGCTAGCCAAGAATAAACGTACGTACAATACATACATATATATATACACACACACACCTTCCTGATTCTGGCAGTGGTCAACGAAATGATTGAGCTTCGGGGTGTATTGGGTACCCCGGAAGTTTGACTCTCGCCCGAAGAGCGTAGGATCCGGATAACCAGACGCTATTAGCCAATAGATTGCAGTTTTCTCACACCATCCCGCAACCTTCAAGGTCAGGCTTCGGCTAGCCAGACTCAAGTCGTGAATTTCCCAAGAAAATTCACCGGCTTTGATTTGGGTTACCTGGCTGTATTTCGCCTGCCAACAAATCATGGACGGATTTGTTTGTTACAAAGGGTATTGTACCATGATTTGTTTTGCACAGTCTGAACTCAGATGCGTGTTATTTCACAGGAAATCGTGATTATGCTGTTTCGGTTTAGTTGAGGTGCCCACCCTCTTCAGGTGAGATTAAACTGATGAACTCTGGCAAACGCTAGTACGGATGATTCACATCGCATCACCATCATCACACTTACACTGCACTGAAAACGAGCAGTGAGACGATTTAACAACTTAGCTGAATCATCATGTGCAAAAGGGTTGAGAAAAACAAATGTATTTATGAAGAGGCAAACAAGGGAAGTGGCTCGGGAAAGTAATCAGTGAAGCTGTGAAATTCACTCACCGGCAATTGGATCAACGGTGTACCGTCTGAATCCAACACGTACATTACACCTCGCACACTGATTACCACGATCAAACTGTAGCCTCTCTCGTCGAGATGTACCTATTTGGGAATAGATATCGGAATATCTCAACCGTTAAATGTTCAGTAGGTAGTCATATGACAAATGTGATTAACTTACACACGGACAAAATCAATAAACTCTTGAGCTCAGTTGTGAAATAAAATTAAACAGAATACGAATACTATTGGATTTAATCTAGAATGAGGTAGAAGCTGTGTAAGTTGACTGCAAACCAGCTTACAATCGACGACGGTACGGCGTCGTGCTCAAGACAACAGGAGAAATACTAGGGGAGGGACTCACCACAATAGGAGATGAAACGAAATTCTCTCCGTGTACAAGAAACGGCCAGCTGGATGGTTGGCTGGGCCAGATATCCGAATGAGATTGAGAAGAAGCACATGCATGAACAGTTCCATCTACAGATGCAATTATCATGTCTGCCTCACCATCCATATTTGTGTCAGTTAGCAAAGGAGGATTGGCTAGAGAACTTTTCAATGATGCAGAGAATCGCTGTAGAACGTGTAAATGAAGGTTTGACCACAAACTAATGTTCGGAGCTGACAAAGTGAAAGGGGGCGCACTTTTTGCACTACTGGTGAGGACGGCAACTATAAGAAGCGAAGAAAGATGGAGAAAAGAGGACCGGGAACTAAAATAAAGTTTGCTTCTGAAAGACGTCATTAGGGGAGATGGAGAAGGGCTTTGGAGCTGCTTGGAATTACTTCTTTTTTTGATCAAATTTCTCTAGAATCTCCTTTGAAAGGGCCGTTGATTTCTCCAGTAGTTCAGAGGGAGTTGCAACTTCTTCAATTTTGTATTTGCTTTGGAAAAGAACACCGGCATAAAATCCCGTAGCAAATATAACCTAAATGAATTGAAAGAATAATGGAGGGATTGAACTGAATGATAAAATTTAGCTTACCGCTCCACGTATCATTTCGATCGTGAAATTTGAGTAAAATAATCAACAAAAGTGGCCACGCTGTGCAAGTGGAACGCAGCAGTCTGGAAGAGAAAAATCTTGATTTTATAATTAGTTTGTTTTACATATTGGGATTTATACGTAGTGACAACCCCGCGTATTATGAATCAAACGAGACATGAAAAATGAAATGGCGGACTTGCCTTAAGTCAGGTTTGGGTGCCTTAGGATGGCTTTTCGTACCCATTAGGGTGAGAATTTTAGGACATCAGTTTTAATGAATCAGACAGTCTTTGACGACGGAAAACGATTTCTCTAATCGAATGCATCAATGAAAATTTCATGAGTTCATCATCATCATCGTACAAAAAATACAGAGAAGCGAAATTCCCCGATCGCAGCAAAGCTCACGATAAAGACAACGTTAGAGAAAAAATGAGTCAGGCAGACAGGAGTTGTCTAAGTTGGGAATGGGGGAAAAGTAAACCGCTATGGTCAGCATAGAGCATACAACCTAATTATGTATGCAATTCTTTTCAAGCATTCTAGCCGATAAGAAATGACAATACGACCGCCGCCGCTGTTAGTTCTTTGGCGAGGATTTCAGTGTTTCAGAAGTGACGGAATATTGCGGTCAAATAGTTGAGCAGAGTTGACAGACATTAGGGATTTCAGGGGGAATTTCGTCTCCCCCCCCCCTTGGGGGTCCCTGGTTTTCAAAACCATAATGGAGGTAACGATTACCGATCTGTGGTGTAGCCAAATTGACTTCATACTTCTCTATAACGGCTAAAGGCATTATACAGCTGGATTGAGGAGAGCGGATGAGCCGATGGCCTAAGTTTCAGTTTCAGTTTTTACAACCATTACCATGCACTTTCGTACGCCGGTTTTGGTTGCTGTTTTTTTGGTGCCCCATTTGGATAAAAGAGCAGAATGAAGATTGGAACGTTGAAAGCAAATTTAAGCGGAAGATGGGGAATTCATATAGACTTAAGGGTTCGAACCATCTGAGGAATTTTCTCCAGTTCTCGTAGTAACGAGAGTGGGAGTTGCGTCTTGCCTGAAGCAATACGCACGAATCGGAAAAGCCTCTAAAAATCTAAAAACAGAATTTGCTGTGGAGTCTTGCAACCCTAAATTTTGAGCACCGGTTTCAGATTTCTTTCAATATACACTTCAATTTTGTTGTACATTATATGGGTTACGGCAAAAGGGGACATGCATATAATCAAGGAAAATACTGTAAAATGGAGAGCAGCTTATTGATTCGACGTTTGAAGAGCGAGGGATTGTAAGAAAGGCAGCGGCTAGATGGAGCGTTCTTTAGCTTGGCAGCTCGGTGGAAAAAAATTAAAGCAGAGAAGTGCGACGTCTAGTAACTGGAATCTGAAAAGGATGACTAGCTGACTGTGTACCGGATGGACGGGAAAAGGTAAAGGAAGGGCAACTGTCAATTTGAGTTCTGAAGAAAAAAGACAGTGTAAACGATAGGAAAGGAACAGTGAAGCAAGTGCCCGACGATGGACTAGTGACTGCAGATTGGAAGTTAGATATTGATCATCAATCCGCCGGATGATCCTTTGTTGAGCGCGATCAAATAGGGAGGAAGACGGAGTCCCCCCTCAACACATTCCTGGATTATTCCACAGCAGGGCGAATTTGAGCTTTTTAAAGTAGGGGAAGATGCGCTGTGGTGAAGAAGCATCTGGCGCGGAATGAAGAACCAACCTTTCACGCAGGACGAGATGCAAACTGAGGTATAAAAGAGGACTAGCATACAAAAGCTATAGGCAATCCAACAAGAGAGTTTGTGGAAAGTAGTTCGGTGGAATCCCAGGGCCAGTGAGGAGAGAAAGAATGGTGTTTCATAAAGAAATCAAAAAGAGGTTTGGGGAGCATCAAATATAATATGTTTATCGTTGAACCAGAAGGAGAAGTGTTCGAGATCAGAGTCCAATGACATTAACTGCACTATTTTTTTATTACACACGAAGTGATTTACAGTAAGAGCGGTAAACCCCATATACTGTAAGGGGGAGGTATGTGGGGGAACATTCAAATAAGAACCAATTTGTTAATCCTGCTTTTGAAAAGGGTAAGGTTATAAGAG